ACCTTAGCAAGGGTTCCATGTTTTGCAGGTGTTGCAGTGATAATAAAGTACAGTTCAGGAATAAACCCGTTGTTTTTATTGAATTAGAAAGCCCAAGAATAGCAGCCGACCCATTGCAGAGTGCAGTCATTTCTCTTTAATTCATTTTTGTTTATTTCCTTTTATTTTTGTTTATTTCCTTTCTCTCTCTCCTTTGGTCTTCATACTCTCTTAGTAAGAAATGTTTAAAAGGGGCATTGTGGTGTGTGTTAGATTGCAAAGGAAAACCATGATTTACTTTTGGGTTTTACTTTTGGGTTTTATTATTCTTTTTTGCTTGCTTGCTTGCTTCGTTTCTTGCAAACTGTAGAACTAATCTCTTGCCCCTGCACATAATTATTTTAACCATTGAGAAAACAACAAGTGTAATAACTGGTCATTAAGTACCTGATAAATGAAAGAGATGATATTACGGGATTAAGACTTAGAGGAATTCTTAAGCAGTTCCAAAGCAAAAGTACTGAATTCTCAACAATGCTGCTTAAATTTTAATGTTCTCTCCTGTGAGCTGTGCAGCTTGGATGAATTATTCCACCGTGTTGAACTGCAATTTTCTCTTATATAAAAGGTGTTTGTAAACAGCACAGGGTCTTCTGGACTGGCATCATAATCATGAGACATGTAAATCACGTTTCAACTTACAGTAAATGATCAATAAAAGAAATAATGGGACTCCGGTCACAGAAATTAATGAAAACTCTTCGCAAGAGATGAACATGCAGAACTGATAAGAAGCCAAGAAGCAAAACTAGGTAGATAATGGGAAATGGAAAAATGTTCAGGCTACGAAACACCAGCTAAAGAAGAGGCCACTCCCAGACACATCTGAATTTGCACTTTTTATCTGCTATGCCACGGTCAGGAAGTAGCGGGTCCACTGCCTTTCTACCCTAGACTAGAGCAAAGAGCAAACGTGAACTCAAACAGTTCCTTAGGTACTTGTAGAAATATCATATGTGGTATGTGTGATTTAATATTAAGCAGATTGTGAATACTAGTAATTTGAAAAGACACTCTACTATGTTAAGAATACTCTAATTAGTACGCACTATAGGTGAAGCGGATGGGTGGGGTGGGGTGGGGTGGGTGGGGTAGAGTGGGGCGGGGTGGGGTGGTGTGCTTTGGGGTGGGATGGGGTGGGTGAGGTGGGGTGGGGTTGGGTGAGGTGGGGTGAGGTGAGGTGAGGTGAGGTGGGGTGGGGTGAGGTGGGGTGAGGTGAGGTGGGTGAGGTGGGGTGGGGTTGGGTGAGGTGGGGTGGGGTGAGGTGGGGTGGGGTGAGATGGGATGGGATCGGTGGAGCAGAAAGGGAGTGGTTCCCTTGAGAAAGGTAAGCCGTCTCTCTTACCTCCTCCATTCTCCTTGTTCTGCTTTCATAACTGAATGCAGCAGCAAGGCAAACAGACACCAGGAAATACAAGTTATTACTCTGTCATTTTGTTAATTGCCAAAATGTTGAATCTGCAGGCAGGTATTCAAATAAGGTTTGAAATAATGTAAATCACCATCATAGCATAGTACATAAGAGTTGATCAATTTACATCCTAGTTTTTTGTAATATTGCTGTATTGTGTTCTTCAAATAGTGATGAAGTATCCCCAAACTGCAAAGAGTATCTTAAAACTCTCGGCATGCTATTCCATTTTCAGGTTGATGTGATTCCAGTGTTTTAGGTTCATACAATCTCCTAATCGTAGCCCAAGACATTACTTATTTGCTGGGACCCAATCCTCCATTCTTAAACTTTTTGCTTTCAGAAAATAAATGACACATGTGACTTGGAAATTGAAACAAGCATGACTAGAAAACAAATAAACAAACAAAAAATACCTTCTGTCTTTATCATCTCCATCACAAGCCTATGAGGCAGAATGCTGTTGTTATTACAATTTTATGAGATGCATTGCACCTTGCCAATTCTATGTAGATACGAAAAAGTGATCACTCTCCAGCTAGCAAAAGACAAACTGGAACACATTTGTCATTAGAATAGACAAGATAAGCAGGGTGTCACCAACACTGCCATTGTGCCTTCGGGGTGTTGTGTCACAGGCAGACACGGCTGGTTCTTTCTCCGGTCACTGCCTTCTCACTGCTGTTTCTCTCTTCCTGGACCAGAGCTCAGACTCTTCCAAATAGCCTCAGCTCTTCAAGATCATTCCACAATAATTGAAAAAGACGGGCACTCCTCTCCTCCAATTAAACCATTCCACATATAAATTTCTTGCCTGGAGAGTAAATTGAGACATGAATGGGATTCCTGAATATAAATTGAGCTCTTCCTACACTTAAATTTTTTATCTTGAAATTGTAGCGTACATACTCCACTGATTTGCCTTGAGTGTGTTTACCATAAGAACTCCAGTGCAGAGCTTATTGCTGTGTATAACTGAGTATTCAAATTCACTAATCATCAGGCCAATGAAGTCTATTGAGAAAGGTATGCAGGGCACTTGGGTCTGTGCTCACAGCAAGGATGAATGGTGCTGGTCCAGGCTCTGGGCCTTGATGTGAATGGGGCCAGCACATTTCTCCCCTTGAATATCAACTGACGTTGACTTCATATACCCTGAATGTCTTAACAAGTCGGTTATTTTTGCTCCATTCTATTTTTGCCTTAAAGAGTGGTGTGGTAAATGAATGGTTAACGAACTCACTTTATTTTTTGACCAAGAGGATTCAGACAGGATTGAAGGATTCAGTGTGGACATATATCAGTATCCTAGGCAAACAGGGCACCTTACTCCCTCTCTCCTCTATCCCCTTCTCCTCTCCCCTCTACTCGACGTCTGGTTGACATAGTGGCCATGTGCATTCTGCAAAGACCCATCCAAGCCAACAAGACATCCTGTGTATGGCTAAGTAAATGCCGGAATGTGGAAAAGTCTTGCTCTCACTTCCCACCTGTGCTTTGAATCTTCAACAAGAATCAAGACTGTTTTGTATTCGTGATCACATGGATTTGAAAGTAACGTCATAGAGCCTGTTGTTGCTGTAGAACTAAACGGTAAAGAAGGATTGTCGGTGATTAGTTGCCTATGATGAAACCAAGCCATTTTCTTCTGCGGGTAACAATTTACACTAATTTAAAATAATGCCATAACAAAATTTGTGGGGAATTAGATAAAAATTAAAACAATTAAAAGAGAAGAACTAAACACCAATGCACACTAAAAACAGGTTTTTTTGGGGGGGCAATCAATGTTGAAAAAAATTTCTCCCAGAAACTTCTGCTTAGGAAGCTTTCTAATAAGAAACGAAGGAAAATACATTATGGTCTTACTCATTTCCTATCCCCAATCTGAGAGTTTTTCTTGATTGTATGTGTTGTCAACACTAGGAAGGTTTGCAGGTCTCAAAACTGGTATATTAGTCTTGAACCTGAAGGTGTTGGAGTATCAGCTACTGAACATACAGGGGAGCTTTGGTTTATTCCTCTGGACAGAATGTGGCTGGAAAGACAATCCTCTTCCCCTTCATGTTCATGACAATATGCCGTGTCTTTCCGAGAAGTAAACATAACTCCACATCTAAGAAAATCAATCACAGTAATGGGAAGGTAAAAGGGGACAATATGTTAAGATAAAAGGGTGGCTTTTCAGAGGATATGCTGGCTGCACCCCTCAATCAGCTATGGGCGGTCCAGACTCTCCCATTGGGTGTTCCTTACCCAGCTTTACCTCAGTCTCAATGAAGGAATTGGACCCATCTTCTAATTCAGTAAGCCGTGTTTCCACAGTGTGTCTGAAGCGAATGAAGATATCTTAGGGAATAGCAAAGGATAACAACAAAGTGTTGTCTCTATAAAGGCATAAATATCAATCTGTCATTCTTCCATTGAGTTCAAATCCTCACATACATCAGAATACACTATTTTGTATAACTATGTCATTCATAACTGACACATAGATTAAGGAGGTTTTGCACTTTTTAAATCTTGTTTCAATTTGAGCTTTGGTTATACCACTTAGGTTGGTATTTATGTTGGGAAAAAAAATGGATTTTGAAACTCCTCTGTCTCAAATATTTGTGTCAAGACAGCAGTTTCTTTTATATTAAAGTATTTGGCATGGTTAATATGACCTCAGAAGAGATCTTACTTCACGGTCTGAAGTGGTTCTGTTTCATTTCTTTATTACTGTGTCTTTCTCCTCAGCATTTATATAAAGGGTTCACAGTCTTTTTCAGGTGCATGCTGAACCATCTGTGGTATGTGGTATTCATTTGAATAAATTCATAAATTAATCTGGTCCACTTAAAAAAACAAGGGAAAGAAAGGCAGCCTAGTGACCCACTAAGAACAGCACAAACAAGCCAATTCTTAGGACACTATATTCTGTATGTTCTATTGTATGTATATGGTCACTCAGAGTTACAGAACACGCTCTCGGGAACTGATAGGATAATTGAGGAAAAGCAGGGCACACCTTTCATTTACTGTTGTCTTTATTCTACGACCCCTGATATTGAACTCCGAAGAGGAATGAGTCATTTTGCTCACTATAATGTGGGAAAATAGAAATCATTCAAAATTAATATGCTGTTTGGTGGTTTCTGCGCAAAATAGAACAGTACAAGAAGGTGAGTAGTAAAGTAGGAATGAGTTTGTCCAATGTTTTTTAAAATAAAACAGCATGAAGTTGTGAACTCAAGCCATGAGAAAAGTGTACATGCAAATAGAGTTTGCAGCAGTCAACTGGTACCATGAAGAATTCACCATCACCACTTAGGCTTTTGGCACCAGGATGACTTACAACCAATATGTCAGAGGCTATTTTGTAGTCATAACCTCTCTACTCTAAAAGTTGAAACAAATCATTTTTTAGGAAACAAACATGTGTCTGACAAATTTATGACATAAGAATGGGCTAACGGTTGCCTTGTGAACAGTTGCTCTTACCCCTTGATATGTCATCTGTATTGTTTCTGGCCCCAACAGTTGAAATGGTCACTCTTTCTTACAGGTTACCAGCCAGTTCTGTCTGGTCAACAGGGATTTCAAGGGTTAATGGGAGTGCAGCAGCCGCCACAGGGTCAGAACCTGATCAACAACCAGCAAGGAACTCCGGTGCAAAGCATGATGGTCTCCTACCCAACAATGTCTTCTTACCAGGTATACCTCAACTGCCTGGAATTGTGTGAGTCATGAAGTAGTACTTGTCCAAAGTCGTAGGTGTGTCACTGTGTTGGGTGCTTGGTTGTGCCAAAGGTGTTTGGCCTGGCCACTATGGATAGCTGATTTTGAGTCAAGATTGTAAAAGAAAAGTGTGAGATGGAAAGCATATGCTTCTAAAACTATTTTGGCTTCTGAAAGCCCTGCTCAATTTGATTCAATATAAAATCGAACACTTCTGGAAAAAAAATCAGTAATCAAAAAAGTTGGGTTTTATTGAATTTTTATTTCATGGTGGAAAACCGTCATGACAAATTCTCATTTTTGTACACATCCAAGAATTTTTACCAAGATTGTAAGATGCTTCTAAATAACGCATCAGACTCATTTAAAGGACCTTCATGAGGCCTAATAAATAGAGCCTTTGTTTTAAAAACAGAGAAAACCAGCTTATAGAGTGCTTCAAGGGAGGAGAGAAGGATGTTCGCAACTGACACCTTGGGTGCATCTCCTGTGTGCCAGGCAGCATGTCAGACACTGCACCCCATTTCTGCAGTCCTCAAGTTGGTCCTCTGAAGTAGGGTCATTCACCCAATGACCTAGACATCAGAAAGTTGATGTGACTTTCCCAGCTGAAACAGCTTTTAAAACAGTAACGTTGAGTTGGTGATCTTTAGGTTGAACTCCAATGAGTGAATGTTTCGGGAGACTGCATTGTCCTTTGGATAACTCGGAAGAATCTTCTCATGCAGCGTTCCTCTTTGTGTCTTTCTGCAGGTGCCAATGACCCAGGGTTCTCAAGGACTGCCCCAGCAGTCATACCAACAACCAATCATGCTACCTAACCAGCCAGGTCAAGGGTCCCTCCCAGCCACCGGAATGCCCATGTACTGTAGTGTCACACCGCCAACCCCTCAGAACAACCTTAGGCTGCTTGGACCACACTGCCCCTCCAGTGCAGTCCCTGTGGTGTCAGCTAGCTGCAGGACAAACTGCGCAAGTATGAGCAACACCGGCTGGCAGGTTAAGTTCTGAGAGCTCTAGCTGTGCCACATTTCTTTCCATAATACTCATGGCCTTTAAGGGGAGAGGAACCAGGTGGGCAAACTGGCTGAGGACTTAAATATTCATTCAACACTCAAATGATTGCTGCTGGCATTCTGTAAAAAAAAATAATAATAATAATAACAAAGACTAATACAAAATGTTAGCTGGTTAATGGTGCATACTTCTGTCATGTCTGCTAGGTATGCCTTTATAGCTTAGCTAGTGACATGAATTCATCAAGGTAAGATTCTCTCCTACCACTGAATACCACTGTGTAGATTCTAATATCCCTTAATTTGGATTAGTTTTGTACTTTGTGTTGGGTTTGTGATGCTAAAAGTATTTAAAGATTATATACTGAAATCACATTGTACCAAAGCTGTAATGGAAAAGATAAAAGAAAAAAAATGATGATGAAAGGAATAATTTATATACACAATAGAGTTTTCTTTTTTTTTTTAAACGGATATATACTGTATTGTAGTGTTTAATCAAAATAAAACTATCTGACCTTACGAAGGAAGGTCACGTTTCTACCACCAGTTTGGCTCGCTCTCCATTCCAGTATGTGATTCATTAGGCGTCGTAGTGTCCTTCCCATACTGTCCCTTGTATAATGCACAGAGACTATATTCCAGGCACTTGTCAGCAAATGGGGGTCACAGTGGGAAATGCTTTAGGGAAGCACTTAACCAACTGCGGCTTCTAATCCTAACACCACAGGGGGCTTGAAAATAAGACGGTGTGCATTTCATTCATTCACAAAGTTCACAGTTTTTAAATGGATACATGGGTTTTTGTAGTGGGACTTTGCAAGGTGTGTCGCTATACGGGTATTAGCAATTTGATAAACCTGAGTATCTTGAGCAACAGCAGCTGTACAGCCAATTCTGCTCTGCCTCCGTTTCAGTCCCATCAGGCATGTCCAAAGCAAGATATTTTGTTCAGAAGGAAAAGCCTGAATCGACTGCCTACCCTGGTTTAGACAGAGGAAAACTGCCGTGAGTGGTGGTAGAGGCTCAGCAACTCAAAGCTGCTGAGAGTTGCCTTAGCAATTTGAAACAAGGAAAACAGACTCATGTTTTATGGCAGAGATCTGGAACATTGGCAGAGCTGCTTTGAAAATGTTTCCACCCCTGCGGATTTGAGAGGTTATGATGGTGTATGACAATCAGAAAAAAAGAAACGAGTGGAACTCCGAATATTTAGCTGTGGGCCCTTCGGAAGACAACTAGTTGGTAAATAAACCTCATAGAATTCACCTGCAGTGTCACACACAATACAAGCTTTCACAGCCTGCCTGAAAACCTTTAACCACAGGAAAGATGTAGAATATACATCTGAATTATTTCCATGGTTTTTTTAACATTTGCTATTTTCATGCTAATCAGATATGAGTAGAGCTAAGCAACTTGCTAAAAATTATAATTAACACATTACCAATTCTTAGTTTTTTACATTTATTCTTTTTTATTAAAAAAGAAAAAAAAAAGATTTTTTTTATTGGAAAGGCAGATACACAGAGAGAAACATCTTCCAACTACTAGTTCACTCCCCAAGCAGCCATAATGACCAGAGCTGAACAGCTCCAAAGCCAGGAGTCAGGAGCTTCTCCTGAGTCTCCCACGTGGATGCAGGGTCCCAAGGCTTCGGGCCGTTCTCAACTGCTTTCCCAGGCCACAAACAGGGAGCTGGATGGGAAGTGGAGCACCTGGGATTAGAACCGGTGCCCATATGCCATTCAAGCACATACAGGATGAGTAATTTAGCCACTATGCTATGACGCTGGACCCCATCATTTTTTTCTTTAAAAGTGAAGATTTACATACACTCTTCATTAGCTTCATCCCTTGTAAATTTCTCATTTTTCCAAACCACTGTCTACTTTATTCTTCCATATAAATACGTTCTACCCGTAAAATTCGTCATCAAAAGATGTTTACTGCATTTTTTTTCCCTTATTGGGCCATAAACCAATAGCTACTCTGAGGGGTGGGAGGGGGGATGCTACAAGCATCTTTAGTATCTTTCTAATTAGTATCTTTCCTGAGTAAGAGCAGACTGAGAAAAATAGACCCATTTAGCCTTCCGATCTTGGCAGTGACCCCTCAACTCAACTTACAAGAATAAGTCTGACTGTTTCTTCTTTACATGGAAGTTTGGGGATCGCTGGCCTTTTCCTTAAAGACTTTTAGAATTACAGAGGATTTCTTTACGGGGATGTCAGTAACAAGGCTTCGTTCTCCTGGGCTTCTCCTCCCTACGTGTGTTGTGGACATCCTAATTTGGACATTCAGTCTCTGTGCTATCCATCCATGCGGTTGCTGCTTCAGGCCAAGCCTTCTTGCATACTTTTGATATTGCATACTTAGGATCTTATACAAACATAGCATGCTTACAATTATTTCATGTTAGAACATTTTAAATAGCTATGAAGACTGATGATTTCATTAAACATTTGCAGAAATGAATACGTTTGCAGGAGAATATAATTTTTAGGTCAGCCAGTAATTCTATCCCCAGTCATGTTTTATAATCACAGGTTATTCCATCAGTAAGCGTACATAGAGATATATGGATACTTAGATATATAAATACTAAACTGCATTTATCACTGATTTTAGATATCTATGTGTTATTAAAGAAGACAAGAGTGATTTATGCATTTATTTACTCAGCTGAATTTCATCACATCCATAATTATATTCTAATTATTTGCCAGGATTCAAAATAAAGTGCAGATAAATTTAAAACTAGATTTATTCCTATACATCGTATCATGCATTTCATTACTCTTTGATAAACAGAACCAAATGTTCTAAAATTCCCATGAACTTATTCCCTGCTTACGTTATTGTTTTAATATAGTTCTACAAGGTTAGAGATGGGGCAGGACAGTGCATTATACAACACTACAGAAATAAAATTATGTAATTGGTTATAAATATAGTTGAAGAACTTTGAATAGGGTACTTCATAAAAAGAGATTCAAAAAAAATGAAGCAATACACACATATCAGCAGAAGTAGAATTTCAACTCGAATCAGTGTTGATTTCAATTCTGCTTTTACTTTTGCCAAAGTCGGAACGGGATGGCACACTTTGAGAATGACAAAGTCGGAACGGGATGGCACACTTTGAGAATGACAGAGGTTCAGGCCTGCTTTCCACACTGCACCAGCTCTTCCTCCACAGGCACCTTCTCCATTAACATGCCAAAAAGAAAGAGCATTGTCAGAAGGTTACAGTTAAGGCGGAGTTGAAACTATTGTTTTAGTACCTCAACAAGAGTCCTAAGTCCATCAGTCTGCTATGTCAGTGTGTCTTGACACTGAAGGCATAGAGAATGGTACAAAATCCGTCATTCTCGTGTCAAGACACGTTGTTGAAGGAATTATCCGTTGTTACAATAGCCGGGGAGAGTGTGGGGTGGGGATAGAGGAGGGCGGAAGGGACATCCCTGAGCTTGAGGGACTGTTTCATGAAAAAAAAAAAAAGTTGTTTTTTATTTTTTAAAGAAACTATTATTTTGAGCTTTACAATCTGAGTAATGCCTTAGTACAACTACTTCCTACAAACTAGAGCTGTCTTCTCCAGATAGTTTCCAAGGAAGACACATTCTTTGGAATATTCGCATTTGTTGTAAGAAATTGACTGTCCTAAGGGCAATTGTAATTGGGAGACAGAGATAATCAACTAATCAATCTTAGTTATCTAGTTTTTTGGGAACCTTTGATATATCACTTTACATCAGCAATTTCCAAGAGACGCATAATTCTCATAGTTCTTGAGATATAGATTGAATGAAATAATCTTTGTTCACAGCATGCATCCACAGACTAGTATTAAAATCATATTGCTGAATTCTAAAAGAAGCACATAATTACAAAATTTAAATTTCTGCATAAAATGTGTTGTGCATGAAAATGTAACACCACAGTCCTGTTTCCAACTATGACATCTTTTGGCAGTTTCTGTAGTGGCCACTGCTGTAGTATATTTCCCATAAAGGTGTGGAACTGAAGCATTGCAGCTTTATGCCTTGCTTTCTGGAACTTTATTTTTGAGTTCTTACTATAGAAGGACTTAATATAAATACTTAACCTATAATTACAATTATATTCAGGTACATATAAAATATGTGTGTATACATACATTTTATAAAACAAAAGTTATAAAGAGATATTGTTCTTATGGTCCTTTATGCAGCATCACAGGGAGTAACACTGATTTCTTCATTCATTCCCACTAAGTTTTTACTGTACGGTTTTTAATTTCAAGAACAATAAGCAGGATCTTCAGAGTCCCTGAATCTTCAGAAGAAACTGCATCAGTATATAAGTAAATCAAAAATTGAAAAACACAGCAGCATTATCATCTGGGAAATAACATACAAATGGAGCTTGGCCGGTCAGTATTGTGGCAATTTTGGTTAAGCTGCTGCTCATGGCAATGGCATCCCATACGTAAGTGTTGGTTCCAGGCCCAGCTGCACTCATGATAATCCAGTTCCCTGCTCACACACCTAGAAAAACAACAGATGCTGATCCACAGGCTGGGACGTCACTACCAGAGACTCGGATGGAGTTCAGACTCCAGGCTTCAGCCTCATCCAGCTCCATTTATTGCAGTGAATTGGGGGGAAAAAATGAGTGGAATAACTCACTCTTTCTTGTGCATTCTTTTCTCTCTCTCTTTCACATCCTGTCTTTAAAAGAAAAAAAAAATCTTTTAAGGCAGACCTTGAAATAAGAAAGACATCGTTTCTGGCTATAGGGTTTTTTGAGCTTCTGTCTTGAACCAATTGGCTACTTGGAATCTGGATATAAGAGAAGAACTGGGTGGGTCTTAACACTAAATGGAAGAAGTGCCTGAAAAAGAATGAAAGAAAACATTTAATATAATTCAATTGGGTTGGAGTTGGAAATGACTGAAGGAAAAAAAGCGGGGAGGACTCATGGGAACGCAGTTACACAAACTCGAATCTCAGGAAAAAGGAAACAGGTAGCAAAGTATCACGGTCTCAACAATGGTTCATAAAGAAGTGTGTGCCTCGGATGTGAGCGCGATCTGGCTGCGACATCTGTCACCCCACTGGTCGCCAGGTTGACTCGGCTGATCTGGCTAGGCAGGTGTACCCTTCCTCCCTCACTGCTCCATGTACATCCCTCCCCCCGAAACTGTGCTCTCCGTCCAAGAGGGTGACCATCCCCACCAGAGGAGGACCAGTGTTCTGTCAAGGGTATAGGTGTAGCTGCACTCCGCTGCTAGAACCTCCAAACAAGCGCTCAAAAAGTGCGTGCCTCAAAAACTAGGATGAACCCTTCATTCGGGAGCCAGAGATGAACGCAATCGTAGTTACATTTTGCCAATGAGCTGTAGCTCCCATTCGTATTACTGAGATAAGGCAGGCAGAAGTTCTAGCTTAGACACCTGACATTCAACAAATCAGTTGGATGCACAGTAAAGCTTTAAAGATATAGGTCTCATTTTTCTCTCTCGGATGTAACTGG